TAAAAATGCCCCTGAATTCATTTTAACAGTCTCCCGACGCTGAATGGCAACTTTTAAGGAGGGATTTCTCTCTGCTCGAGAAAGGCTCGCTAGCTGCAACTGCAGCCAGTGAATTTCTAGCACCGAAACACTCTCGCAGCTCAGCTAAGCAAAGCGCTGTCAGAAGAGTGAGTCTTTGATTTCACCTTCCATGAAGAAACATGCATGCAACAGAAGCGGAAATTCTTCCATGGATTTAAAAATCAATGCATAAAATCCGGCTGGAGCACATTATTTCAAGAACACTGCTTTAAAATAAAACAAGACTTTATTGCCTGAAAATTACCCTTGAGTCACATGGCTCTGCACTGGTCAGCGGCAACCGTAAAACCTGAGCTCACCTGCACTTTCCCAGAGCATCCCCCTGCCATTGCAGCCACGCACAAAGGCTGAAAGAGGATGAAACAATGATGTCCCAGTGTATTACCCAACGGAAAGCAACCTCAAAGAACATATACTGGGTACGTTGGCTTTTGCCCTTCAGACGGCAACTTCACAGCACGAGGCGACGGCTCATTTTTCCGCAGTTAAAAGCAGCTCAATTTAACAGCTAACCTCCTGCTCTCTGGCTGAAACAACATCACCAGGCGAAGGGCACAAAATCAGCACACAAGTCTGAAAAGGGTTTTGCAAATATTCACTGTCTGCCTTAAAACACCAGTGCTAAGGTCAAAGCTTAAAACTTAAAGGCTCTCCACGCACTGCTGCGGAGAGGCAACAAGTTTTGGGATACACAAACCAGGCTAATTCCTTGACCGTGAACACGCAAGAGCTGGGCTGGACAAAAAGCATGTGCACTTTATAAACAACTCCTTAACGAGAGCTACGTGTCATAGGGACAGTCAGAATATATTACTAAACAAGCAAGGATTAAGGATACAACAGGACGAGGAAACTACAGAGCACGAGACAGCTTTTCCAGGAACCCAACAGACAGAAATTGAGACGTTTCAATCCTCCTGCAGCTCCTGATTGCCGAACCCACCAGTCCCCTGACCTCAGAGCCACAAAGTCAGATTCAAGGTCTCTTTCCGAAGGAAGAAACCAGGAAAAGCCGCTGGAACGGTTACGTGTGAATCCCTGAATTTGAAACAGACACTTCTAGAGTGGCTCAAACCCAACAGCGGTCTCATTCCCAGCTTGCAGGCCAGCGCTGCTTATGTGCGGAAAAGCACATGCAGATGTTAAGAGACAGACGAAAATCTGAACTGGGACCTTACTTTGCATCCTGTTTGAATTAGGAGAGAATGCATCTATGCGATACAACTGGAAAACTTTCTTCTTCGGAGTTGACTTTTTCCTTTCCAGCTCATTTCTAACTCGCTCTTCAAGATTTGGCAGAGTCCGGGGAAGGCAGGTGTCGCGAAGAAGGCCAATATCGAGTTCTTATCTAAAACGCATTTATAAAGTAAGTTGAGTCCGATACGTTTTAAGCACGATTTACATTTATAATACATCAGCAAATCCTCACGCTACCTTCCCTTGACGGGCATTAAGTATCCTATAAAATCACGGAAATACGGAACATTATGGATAATAAATGGAATGAGGCAACTATGCTTTCCTTCATCACCATCTCCCTGGTTCTGTTTTCAGCTGAGACAGCCAATAGTGGAGGACTACGAAGTGCCTGCAACCTCCCCTTGTTCCAAAAGTGCATTCAAGTCGTCCTACTCTGCCTTAAAGATGACTTCAGGCTTTGACCCCTCCACACCCAGAAGTGATTTTTCACTCTTGGTCGAGCATGAGAGAGTCAAGCAGCCGATTCTGCCTGGAATCCTACAAAAATTGGGATTTTAGGCTTGGCAGCAGCTACCACAACTATCTCAATAATCCCTGTAACAAGGTCAACTCTTGGCTCTCAGAAGAACCCCCAGCTTTCAATGAGCGCTCGTTTCTCAGCAATTCCAGAAAAAAAAAACCTACTGCAAGCCCAAAGGCTTCGGAAAAAGCCACATTTTTGGACCACCAGACGACTGCACCGACAAAGACCCTCGCAGTGGGGATCCAGGACACACAAAAGCTCAGGCAACAGCACGATGGGTGTGGGACAACACAGTCAGCTCCTGTTCTGGAGCGTGTCCGAGACGCCAAAAGCCCACCATGAGGGTCTTTACCAACGAGCGCTGGACACAGCTGACATTGAACGGTTGTTCTTCACCAGGCAGACAGCCCAAAGACAGGTCAACCTGCAAACAAGTACAGGCACAGGACAGCACACGGATGGAGGGCTGACAAGTCCCTTCCAGCTGGATCCTTCTACCAGATGTTACAGTACTGAAGAAGAGTCCGTCCCGACCTATTGCGTGTTGATCTAGAAACATCTAACAGGTCTGTCAAGAGCTGCTCTTGGAGCCATTGCAAGGTGATAAATACAAGCCTTGTGGTCTTTTATTCCCTCTAAGTTGTTTGATAGGTACGTGATGTGTGGTTTCTTTCAAGCTTGAACATTCTGGGGGCAAAGATGTGTTCAAGCATCACTTCTTAAGGGAAAGGGGGAGAAGTCCTCCCCTGCAAGAAGCTCACAAACTGCTGGGAGGATGGGATCTTCCAGCAGTCACCAAAACACTCGCTCTGGCCCCAAAGCAGCCACTACCCACAACCAGCTCCATCCAAAAGCATTGACTGAACCCAAATGGCCAGTTCTGGGCTGCTTTAATAGCGAGACTTCTCCTCACAACCTGCTTAGCGTCCTCTGAAGCATTAATGGTTGCAGAGCCTGCGACCAAAATGAGGGTAGCGGTCCTCTACAGCTGCTGCATAAACTCCCACCACAACCCGAAACCATCGGAGTCTTGCGGACAAAGCCAAATGGCCTCAAGAAACTTCTCCGTCGCGCACCAGCCTCTGGCAAAGCCCAAAATTTTGTGGACGAAGCGATTTAAGCAACAAGTGCCTTAAAAGCCACTGAGGAAACAAGGATCTCAAAGAGATTTCACGGTGCAGCAACGTTCCTCTCCAAAAATACTTGGATGCCTTCAAGGGAAATAAAGCCCTCAGCAGCAAGTACACAGAGTCAATGAAACACCATGATGAAAATACATTAAGAAACTAAAACAGAAGGGGAGCTTGCTTCGTTTCGACCACCTACTTTCAAAGGCGAGTCTCTCGCTTATTCTTGAGCTTCCTCAATACTGCAGACTCCCTTACTTCACATATTTTGCAAATCAAAGGTCGCCCAGGTGTGTGCACCTAGAGAATCCCAGCCTGGCTGGGCTGGCACAGCTGTATTTAACAGAAGAGAAGCAAACAGCCTCGCTGATCCCTAGCAATAACAAGACATTACTTTTTTTTAATCGATCGGCATTTTAAGCAGCTGCACAGGCATAAAGGGTCACGAAAGGGGAAAGTGAAAGCCGGAGGGACCTCGGAGAGTTTAATTCACCCTTCCAAGCTTCATTCACTTTTAACTGAAAACCCGCAGCGATTCCCAGCCCATCCACGGTCCCTCCAAACATCTCCTCTTCGTAGAAGTGGGACGCGCAAAGCGGCTGCTCCCAAGCTGGACGCCAACCCAGCCTTTCCCTTTTCCCCAGGGAATGATGCAGCTGGAAAGATCCCTCTTTAAACCCTGCCGCCAGAGGATATGCAGTCCATCGGGCTGTTTAACGCGGCTCAATTATTAAAGAGGTTTCTGAGACCACAGCATGCTCTGGTGTGAACCAGGGGAAGACGTCGTACCCTGTAAAGCAACTCCAAAGCAAAGGAGCCACAAGTGCAAGAGGGCAACCAGAGCCCGAGCCACCCCTTGTTACTGGAGTAACTGGGAGCCCCGTTTTCCCATGGGAACTTCAGGGAGCAGCTAGTGCCACCCCCTCACAGACAGAAGATGCTGGAGGACACGTAAGGGGACTGAGTCAACCCACCCAGGGCTACGGTGTCCTCCATGCTCGGGGCCAAAGGAGGCAACCCAGCGGATGCGGTGCCCCAAAAACCCAGGGGAAAGGATGCTGCTGGGGCCTGTCCACGCAAGGGGACCCGAATGGCTGGGACACTGTGTTCCTCCCCACTCAGCAGCAAAGGATGCTGCCACAGCCCACCCACGCAGGAGGAACCATGTGGCTGAACCCAAAGGACACAGCACCCAGATTGGAAAGATGCTGTTGGAGGCTGCAGGTGAACACACAAGATGTGGCACCCAGCTTGCTCCGGGCCACAAGATGCCAACTGAGTGCTGCGGGGAGCCAGGCAGCTAAGCCCAGGGGACAGGGTGCCTCGCACCCAGGGGCGAAGGCTGGGCTGAGCCCAGGGGACACCCACAGCCAGGGCCAAAGGATGCTCCGGCAAATTGCCTGCATAAGGAGATGCTGCTGGGGTGATCCCAGGGGACGGGGTGCCTCGCTCCCAGGGGTGAAGGATGCTCCAGAAAATTTCCTGCGTGGGGAGACCCTGTCAGGGTGATCCTGGCGAACAGGGTGCCTCACACCCAGGACCTGGGCTGAGCCTGGGGAACACCTACAGTCGGGGCCAGAGAATGCTCCGGAAAACTGCCTGTGTGGGCAAGCCCTGCTGGGGTGATCCCAGGAGAACAGACACCCCACACCCAGGGCCAGAGGACGCTCGGGAAAACTGCCGGCCCAGAGAAGCCCCTCTGAAAGGCTGAGCCCGGAGTACTCGGTGTCCCCAAACCCAGGGCTAAAGGACAGGCCAAGCCCAGGGGATGCCCCCACAGCAAGGGCCAGAGAATGCTTCGGGTGGGGGGGCGGGATCCCGAAGGGATCAAGCCCAGGGGACACACTGCCCCCACGCCCTGGTCCAAAGGATGCTCTGGCGAAGGGCTCACGCGTGGACACCCCCCCCCACGCCGGGGAGTCCCCCGTCGTGTCCCCCCCCCGAGCCAAAAGACGTCCCGGGAGATCGCCCACCCTCGGGCAGGCGGGACGGCCGAGCCCGGGGACACCCCCACCGCCCTCTCCCCCCCAGGGCACCGGGGACGAGCCGCCCGCCCCCCGCCGGGGTACCTTGATGCGCTCCCGGCACTGGGAAGGGGTGCGCTCGTAGCCCAGCTCGGCCAGGGCGCGGGAGACGCGCTCGTACATGGCGGGCCCGGGGGCCTTGCTGCCGAAGACGGTACCGGCGCCCTCCAGCTGCTGGTACCGCGCCTCCACCAGCCGCTCGTTGCCCCAGACGGCGATCAGCGCGTTGGTCTCCGCCGGCGTCCAGGACATCCCCCGGCAAGCGGCGGCGGCGGCGGCGGCACCGCCCGGCGAGAAGGAG